ATTTTTTTATTTAATAGACAAGTTGAATTGTAAAGTTTATTCAAAGTTAAAAAGTACAGTTTAAATACATTTTACAACGATCTAAATTCTATATAATAAAATTCCTTTTTTTTTATAACCATTCTTGATATTTCAAACTTATGCTTAATCACTCAATTATTTTTCACGCAGACCTGCTTGGCTTTGGCTGCATAATCTCTTTTTGCAACCTACTTACAATATCATGCAATTGTGTTTTTTGCCCCAGTTTCTTCACTTGGCTTTGGCCGCATAATCCCTTTTTTTCGCAGCCTATTCATAATATCTTATATACTTTTCTAACTTAGACCCTAGTGGCTTTGGTCGCATAATCCCTTTTCTTTACAACCTATTCATAATATCTAACATACTTTTCTAGCTTATAATTGTGTCTTCCACATCAATCCAGTTGGCTTTGACCGCAAAATCCCCTTTAAAATCTCTAATGCATATCTTATGCATTTTTCTAATCTGTGAATTCTAGTCACGCGATTATGTTCCTGTGTTAACCTGTTGGCTTAGACTGCACAATCCAAATTAGGAATGAATTCAAAAATGTATGATTAATTTAGGGAAGGTTTAAATTAATATAATTTTGGAATCATATATTGTTAGTCTATCCTTTTAAAGATTTTCGTCTGCGACCTTCATCCAATAGTGGCTATGTACTAAATAATAAACTATATATGAGATAAAGAACATACAAAATGACTAAAAAAAAAAAAACGAAACCTGTTGTAAGAAATGTGGATCTTGCCCGTGTATCAACATGATAATTGACGATACTGTCATTGAGAGTAAAGTTAATACCTTTAATGATTAAATCCGGATTTAATAATTAAATCCGGATTAATGATTAAAGATTTATTAATTCAGTAATTATATTCGGATTTATTTAGTTAGTCTTTACCATAAATTTTTGTAAAGTCATACATATTGGATAAGGCGAAAATTTAATAGAGTTGACAATACGAATGTAATATAATATTGATCAAACAATGTGCTGTATATTATCACAAAAATTTTTAAATCACCGAAATCAATAACTTATCGACTTTGGCCGAGTAGACTTCGGCAAATTTTTTTAGAGTGGCCCAGAAATTATGAAACAGCTGTAATCCAAATCTGGGGACGTCTAAAGCGGGTGGAACTTAGGGTTAGGGTCATCTTATATTAGGGTTAGATTAGATTTTAGTTATAAGCAAAATTGCCTTACCGACATTTTTACTTAACCTACCTGAGGTAGATATTTTTTTAGGTTTTTCGTTTTTGTTTCTTGTTTTGCTTCGTCAGCGATCATCAAAATTCTATAATTTGATTGGTTGTGGTCACGTGAATTTGCGACGACCCCAAGGGGGCACGAGAAAATTTTTAGGCATGCCCCTAGAGGCATGCCCCTACCGGAGGCATGCCTTTTAGTTTAAAGGCATGCCCACAGACTCTGTGCCCCCCACCCTACCTACCAAGCTTTTCTGCAACGCGAAAGTCAAAACCAAAAATTTTAAACGAATCAACAAACATAATCCATGAGCAAGTTACCACCAATACAAAAAATAAAGTTACAGCAAGTCAAATAAAAGGTACAAGACGCGTAGAATTTAAAATTTAATAGATAATTTATTAAGTAATAATTTTTCGGCATCTTAGAAATCACGACCTATTTAAAAACAAAAAAAAACCTTTCTTATCGTGGTTTTTTGGTTTTTTGTCGAAAGATGATTGTAGATTCAGTTTTTTCTGATAATTGGCGTGAACTCGACCGGCATTGGTGTAGTACATTTATCAAATATGCTAGAAAAGTGTTGAATAAGGAAACTTTAAAAAATTTAAAAACAAAGGTGCGTATTTTATTTTTCAAAGGAAGGGCTATCCCTGGTTATCACCATTACTAAGTAGTAAGATTCTTAAGAATGTTTATTGAGTGTTGAAATGTAATGTTTATATACAAAATTAAATATAATGTTCATTAAGAATGGAGTTTTCTGGTCCACGGCTAGGGAAATTACTGGATTTTTGACACTGGTAACCACTCGAGTGCTTCTTGATCCCGGTGCCCCAACTTTACTATTAGAAAGGTCTAATGATTCCAAAAGAGGAGTCATTATTTAACTTTCTTTAGGTAAAAATCGCATTACTAATATTATAACATTTCTATTTTCACAATAGGTGAATTCAGAACGTGTTAACGATGGTTTGAAGCTATTTTGGATAAAGATCATTCAACAAGAAGTTCAACCCACACTACAAGAAAAACCATTGGAATCCAAACAAAAAAAAAAGAAAAAAAGACAAACCGAATCGGAATTGCTATCAACATCTCCCCCATCTATCTTTTACCCCAATCTAATCAAAGGTACCGCTACCACAAAGTCATCCACAGCTCGAACGCCACTTCCGGTAAAATTATGGTGTTCTTTTATTAATGAAGTTAACTCCTATGAAGTTAACGATGATGATGAAATATATCCATGTCCTACATTTAAAAAATACAACAATCCATATGATATATCAAATGAGGAGGACGTAAGAGGCGCTTTAAAAAATAATGTATTTGATAACCTACACTTAATAACTACATCAAAAAGGCCTATTGAAGTTTTCAAAAGAATTTCAATTGAAGATGAAGTAAAAGGAGAACCGGATTTCATTTACAAACGTATCGGAAAACTTTTGTTACCTATTGAAGTAAAAACCCAGTGGGTTTTGTTTATTCAAAATGAACTATTACATGAAAGATACAATCGGGATTTAGAAAAAAAAACCGATGATTTTGTTCCTCAAGATAATACAATTTCGGTTGTAAATTTTATTCATCAAATTTTTGGCTACCTAGTTGCTAATAAATTACAATTCGGAATTCTTACTACCTACAATCAACATTGGTTTTTTAAAAGACCAAAATATGAACCAAGAGCTCTTTACATTTCCCCAACCATAGAAATAAAATCGGAATATCCATCAATTTTAAAATGTTATGC